ATCTTGGCTGCTATAGGGCACCTTGGAAAATGTCCATTTTAAGTAGCAAACATTGCATTTAAAGAATGACACTTCTGACAAAGATACGAAATGGCAGCAGTTCTAAAAATAAAGAATTTTACTTTTGTAAAAAAAATCTTGGTTAAATCACTCATTTAAAAAATATAGGGGAAGACCGTGCCCCACTAATCCCAAATGATCAAAGGCATGCAAATGATGAACTAGATGCTATGGTGTTTGAACTGTATCTCTGTATTAGAAGTGATATTTTAATACATCTTTCTACAAAAATATAAAAAGCAAAACCAAAAATTCCCATTTCATTTTCCAATTTATTTTGTTAAACATCTTTCTAATGAAGTGCCATTACCATGTGTTATCTTATCTATTAATAGAAACTCAAAGAAGTTCATTACAAACATAAGTTTAGAAAACAATTGATTTCAGTCAACTGCAAATAATTCTGGCACACATACATTAACAAGTTTTATCTGACACTCTAAAGCAGGCTTCTTATTAAAAATGCCAACTACATGAAACTATACAATAGAAAAGCTATATTACCTAATTTTTTTTTCATGCTCTTCACATTTTCAAGTTCCTGTTTCAGCTCCACTGTATTGTACTCCATGGTAGAAGACACACCTGTTCAGAGGCAAAGACAAGGGATTTTATTTTTTCAGATTACTAATATTCCCACAAGGGAAACTATTAAAACACCATTTAGATCTCATTTATAAGCAATCATCTTACAGCAGCAATACTTACCCTTTGATTCTAGAACTGCAAGTGTCTCTTTGGGAGATTACAAATAGTTTCCATAAAACATAGGTTTGATTGGAAGTACTCTTATTTTGTTAAGCAGGAGGTGTCTTCCCAACCAAAGGCACCACAGAGCAATCTGCTGGAAACCCTATCTATATCCTTAAGCAGCCATAGAGGGAAGGAGAGAGAGAAGTAGAGGATGTTGAATGGTGTTGCACAGAACCAAAAATTATGGAACACTGGCTTGATATCCAGCAAGACTGCATAGTGCTGTTGTCTTAATACATTGTGATATACCCTTATTCAAATACTGAAATACAATCTCTGGTGTGTCTGAATATATTGTAGGGCCTTTCTACAACAATGTTTGTAGATAAAGTGGATTTCTGCCTATAAGTTACTGACTGACCAAGTGACCATAGTCATTTTAAGGAATATCTATTTCAAAATGAGAGAGAGAGGTTTCCTTGCCTTTGTGTTCAAGGAGCATTGGCAACAGAGAGCAACTATGATTTTATGAACCATCAACAGCCAGCAACTTCACATATAGCCCTTTCCAAAACTGAACTGTGCTATCAATGGAATTCCTTATATTTGTGCAAAGAAGACATTTAAAGTATTAGTCTAAATTTTCCTTCAATTATTTTGTATCCTCACAATATTTTTAACCAAAGATCTCAAAAGTAAAAAACAACAACAACGGTCCTAAAAGGACCATTCATAGTTGATTCCCTTCATAAGTATTTTCTATAAAAATATTTATATAATTTTAGTGACCTGCCTTCCTTTGTTCAAGTTCATTCTCACTTGTTGGTTCTGCATTTAACAGCATAACTGGGGCTTATGTTAGAACTATTTATGCAGTACTTCATGATCTGTCTACAGATCATTTCTTGTATTTGTATTCCTTGATCCATTTTTTATGAAAAGTTGCCCTCCCAAAAACAAACAAACAAACAAACAAACAAAAGCAGTAGTTCTGTCATTTATCTCTCTCTTGGTTTTAATACCATACTTGTCACCAGTGTTCCCTCTGAGCTGCACAACTTCCTGGGTGATTAATCAGCCCTGCCCAGTCAGAGGCTCAGGGCTCCATGTATGGAGATGACTGACTGAGCAGGGTGGATTAATCACCTTTAAAGCTATGCTGCCCTGCAGCTAAGAGGGAGCACTGTTTGTCACCACAGTATTTCAACCTTTATATTCTGAATATTAAAATTAGAAAATAGAATAAAAAATTTATATTCCAATTCCCATAAGTCAAAACACTGAAATCATTCTATTCCTGATGGCAAACAAACAAGAATACTGGTTGCCAGTGTAAGTAAGTGCTAGGGGAGAGGGCAGTAAGCTACTACTAAACTCATTCCCCCCATCCACTTCCTGAATAATCCAATGATCTTATGCCCCTCCAGAAGGTGAAGTAGGAAACAGACCATTATACTCCCAAAGATCTCTATGAACAAAACTTAGTCACACATTTCACACTAATGATTAGACAGACAGATCTTGCTATGGTAAGTATCTTGTCTACTCCACCCAGAATTTGGAAATCAGAACTATGCAGAACATTCCAAATGCAACCTCACTCATTTTCTACATACTATTCTGATTCTTATATCATGCCCATCACTGTGATATCTGATACACCTTGTGAGAACACAATTTCAAAACATACTGAATATTGATTTGGCTTAATTTCAATGTGGTTAAGCATTTATCCAAATATGTATTTCAATCAGTAATTTTCTTTTGGAAAAAGTTCAACTTCTGCTTTAAATTAACATGCTTTTTTCAACCTCAAATTTTGTATTTACTGCGATATAATGAAATTTAAATTTAAATTCATTTTATCCCTTAGCAAGAAGCCCAGTGCTATTTTTTGCATATGCATAAACTCCCATTGACATCACTGAGCATTACATGGGTGTATCTGGAAGTCACAAAAGCTATGTCTAGACTGAATTCCTCTCTCGAAAGAGGAATGCAAATGAAGGACATAAAAAATGCAAATGAAGTGCGGATTTACAAATCTCGTGCTTCATTTGCATAATCACATCTAAGAGCTTTTTCGAAAAAGGGTTGTTGTTGTTTTTGAAAAAAATGCAGTCTAGATGGGGTTCTTTAAAAAAAAAAACACCCTTTTTCAAAAGAACTCTTACTCCTGAAAAAATGAGGTTTAAAGGTTCTTTTGAAAAAGGGTTTTTTTCGAAAGACCCCTGTCTAGACTGCATTTCTTTTTGAGAAACCCTTTTTCAAAAAAGCACTCAGATGTGATTATGCAAATGAAGCATGAGATTTGTAAATCTGCACTGTATTTGCATTTTCAATGTCCTTCATTTGCATTCCTCTTTCAAGAGAGGAATGCAGTCTAGACGTAGCCACTGACTCCACTAAAAGCATAATAGGCGCTGAATGATAAATAAGACCTACAAAAGGTATTTTGGTACAAATCTGTCTTCTCTTTATTCTAGATTTCCAGAATTATGCAAATTATAAGAATCTAATTTCTCATATTTCCAATGCACTCTTACAATAAAGTTTTTTAATTTTATAATTCTCTTTAGTTTTGTAATGCTTTATTTTGCTGCATGCTCTGGAAGTGTTGGTTTGAGAGGTCTAAAACGGCCTTATTCTCTTGGGGTGGGTCTACACAGCACTGTTATTTCAAAATAATGTGAGCATTTACATAGCAATTCCGTTATTTTGAAATAATTTTAAAATCATGGACAGTTTACTCTAACTTCTATAAATCTCATTCCACTAGGAATAATGTCTATTCCAAAATAGCTTCTTCGAAATAGCTATAGTGTTGACACTCTCCTCATGCTATTTTGAAATAGCTCTTCCCCAGGGCCATTCAAACTACTTGCTCCCTAGTGCCTCTTGGGGCTCTAAATCAAGGCAGCATGTCCACGTTAGGGAAGCCTGCCTCAAACTAACTTTGGGGCTTCCCTGTAGTGTAGATGTGCTATTTCAAAGTATTTCTTCTGGAATAGTTTATTTCGAAGAAAGTGTGCAGTGTACTTTGTAAAGTACACTACTAATCAGTTATGTACTTTTACTGCGAAATCCTTGCTCCAATGAAGTCAATAGAAAAATTCTGACTTTAAGGCTGAAATCCAGGCCCCATTAATTTTTTGGACGAAACTTAAAATTAGCACTTGACACTTTCATTCTTTGCAATGTATTTGGAGATCATTGGGAAAACTTTCTATTCAAGAGCTACATATTTTTATTTTTTTAAATACAGAATTTTAGGGCTCAATACAGCTTCCATTGACAAGAATGAGAGTCTTTCCATCAATGTCAATGGTAGCTGCATTAGGCCATACTCCTATAGAGAATAGGAGTCATCCATACGACACAGCTCTTGCAAATTTATCCTTAAAAATGATGGCAAGTAATTAGTTATTCTACAAAAGAACAATATTTTACAGAGGAGACAGTAAGGAAAAGTTTTTTATCAGTCAAAATACTATTTGATGAGGATGCAGCTAAACATTTAAAGCTCTACGAACATATTAATTTATTTCAAACATGAACAAAGTTCAATGTCAGCATTGTCTAGCCAATAAATCAAATTGGTAGACAAAACTTGTTTGGACTAGTTATGAAAAATTAGAAGGGATTCTCCAAGAAAACCACAAAGCAGCTCATTTAAGGTCAATTTAACAGTATTATTCTGTTTTTCTTCCAGCCCCAACATAAGATTTCAGTACCTCAAAGGAAACTGTAAGAGTATCTATTTGCATTCCCCCAGGTGATTGGCAGTTCAACACCAATTAGTTCAAAATTACACTGTTACTAGCGTGCAATAAAAACACTACCTTTCATCTTTCTTACATAGGTAAGGATACCTTCAGAGCCAATAACTTTGATCATGTAAGTATTTTTGATCCTGCTCCACCCGTCTCTTTGGATTCAGGAAAACTAATAGCTAAAGGCAATTTTTTTCTCTTTTCATATAAAAAAAAAGTCCCAGCTTTATTCTTTTTCTGTAGTAGTGATGTGGCTATTGAAATATTATATTCTGGAAACAAATTCTTTCCCAGTATCTCTTCAATAACTAAAAATATCAGGGTAAATATCAAAATTGTCCAACTTTTTTACTTATCACCTCTGGTTGTTCATTAATGAGACATTTACTTGTAAGAAGATATAAAGAAGTTATAGTCATAATTCTAATCCATAATTCTACTAAAACTCAATACATTGCATCTCAGTCTTAAACACTTCAATTCATAGCACTTTTATTGCTTCACCGATTAACTAAGACACTTACTTAAATTAAATCAATTAATTGGGAAAGTAGGATTGATATTACCACTATGAAAGCTGTTGATGCTGTCAGAGGGGTACCCATGTTAGTCTGTATTTACAAAATAACTGGGAGTTATGTGGCACCTTAAAGACTAAGGCCATAGTCTTCAACATGTCATGGAGGACTCTTCATTGTTTCTGAAGATCTGCTATGTCATGGTTACAGCAAGTCTCCATTATAATGCATTACCTCAGTGATTTGTTACTGCATCAAAAGCAAATTCATTTAGGCAGTCTCAGTGGTATATCTGCAAGTGACAAATTTTGATGTCCAACGCCCAAGAGTCAAATTTTACAACTTACCATATACTCTACTTTTATCAAAACAAATCATGTGGTAAAGGTGAGTTAATAACAAAATACATCTCTCTTGAACCAGAATTAGAAGAATTTCCCTGCAACCTTGTCTTGGAACCAAAAGTACAGATGCTTTAAAGAATTATACTTAGTACAGCTGAAGTTGTTTAAGATTAAAATAATCCTAACTTTTTGTTCAAAAACTAAGCCTATGTCTACACTACCGCAGGAATTTGACCAAAGGTATGTAACTCCAGCTA